AATAGAAGATCTAAAAAAGGATGAACAGCAAAAGAGAAAAAGTTGGTCTTGAAGAAATAAAAATGGCAACAGGCACGAGATACTAAGGGTAATACAGTAGTGGATATTAATTCGATACAAAAGTCACTCCATTCTTCCTCTTTTCGGCTCGATGACAATTTTTCGTCGCGGTATCACTGAAGTATGTTATGGATAGAAATCTATACGAAGCTATAGCTTGGACACTTACGTCGACGTTTCTGTGGCTGTGACCACGAAGGTAGAAGTTTGACGTGAAGGTCACAGATATTCACCAAAAAACAGTTTGCAATCAATCTAAACAAAATTGTAGAAATGAGTAAATTTTCAATAAGAACTTAGTTGATAAAGTGTCCTTCACTTACCCTACATTATTAGCTACCATTAAAAGCTTGAGGTTTCTCATATCCTCTCCACCTCTGTTATCTTCTTCGTCTAACTTTCGCTTCAAACGCTGCGTAAAAACTCGGATGATATTCACAAGATATTGGAATCTAAACAAGAAGAATGAGCAATCTTACGTAAAAGAAACTAGCAAGGGATTTTTGTACCTGGGTTTCCAAATATCGCCCACTGCCATCAACTCCTTCGCAATAAATCGATGCCTTTGCAACAAATTGTACACAACAACTGAGACAAGTTCCAGCTCAGTAAACTCTATGTCCCAATCTTGATCATTTCTCTAAATGTTCGTAAATTGCTATATCCAGATAGTAGATACAATTGAATTGAGACACACTTGATCAACATAACCGTCGGCTGCATCAACGTCAACTGGACGGGAATCGGGCAGCATACCCTATAAGTTAAGTGCTTACTACTTATAATTACTATGAAGTTCAACCAAAGGAAGAAGATTGTAATGATCATAAATCGTTCCTAAAGCTTAACACAAAAGGGCACATACCCTCAAATAATCAAACAACTTGATCACGCATGAAAAATCGTCGGGTTCCTCATAGTTGCCCAAATAAGTAACAGAAGCAAGTACCTGATGTGAGAGAAGAAAAATAGATACGGATATATACAAAGTGAAGAATTAACCTACTTTCATTATGTCCTTTCTGTCCGAGGCATGAATGAGATGCATTTTGCCAAATTTCGAAAACAAATAGTTTGTCATTCTCCTTGGCATCACATAGGAT